AATGTCCAACTACAGTTTCAAATTCTGGATCAACACACATTCAGGTTGAAATTTTCAAGATTACATGAATCTCAAGTTTAAGTAACCACAAATACAACTTTAAAAAATTCTGAGTCCCTGTGAGAGACATTACTTGCTTCATAAAAGAGGTTCCGGGCTGGTCACTCTGTCCGGGCAGCTTGTCAGGATGCAGGAGAAGGTGCCGTCCATGAGGCAGGAAGCGGGGCCCAGAAGGAGAGGGTTCCCCAAACCAGACCCCGGATCTGAGGGCCTTGAGCTTGGGCTTGCACCTCCTGGACTGACAGGAATGGATTCTGTTGTTTAAAAGCTCGCTGGGCTATGCTACTTTCTTACATTTGCCTGAGTGGACAGCGTCTAATCTCTTCCACCAGACACCATGGGGAACCTCCTTGCTTACCGTGTTCTGAGAAATGCCCTCTGTGTGTAAGAGGACTGCCTGAAGTGTACTTCTGAACCACATTATTTAATAGAAACTTCACCTAGGATCTTAGGAGAACATGAATTTCTCTCTGATATAATTATCTATACTTTCTGCACTGTGTATTTGGAGTTTTGTACTTTGAATCTTCCTGGAGTCAGTTGCCTGTACACTGAGTTTTAGCAAGTATCCTTTCATCGTGGTCCCCCTTGAGGTTCTTAAATTTGATAACATTTATATGGGGCCTGGGAAACTTTACATCCATTCCCATTTTACAATGGCAACTACACAAACTTCAAAGACGGCATTTTTATGGTGTCTTGTAACACCCCACCACTGGATTGTCCTTTCCTTGTGCAAATTAAGGGATATTAGGCAAACCCCAGGCTTCTTTTGAAAGCTAATGGACAACATCAGCACTGTGCCAGCCACCGGGTAAAATAAACCCAAGTACACCTGATGCCCCAGGACCCATGGATCACATAAAACCAGCACACATCCTATAAAACCTGGTGATGCTGTCGTAACAAAGACACCACACCATCCTGGGAAATCCCCCATTCTCACGGCAGTATAGTTGCAATGCAGGGCCCGTGACAGCTTCAGACAGTTCCTTCTCAGAGATGATGCCAGGGGTAATTACCAGTTCGCTCTGTAATATTTAACCTGAGCCAGTTTCCTCTGTCCTGTCACAGGAAACTGGAAAAACAAAAACTGACAAAGAGATGAGGCCAAATCCTTTGTTATTGCTATGGTTGTTTTTCTGGACAAAATAGATCCTGTCTGTGGGGCCCACGTGCACAGCCCTCTTCTCCTTCCTCTCCAGTGTCAACACCACCATCCGTGCCCTTTTCCTCCTCCCTGATAACCGTCTGATCCCGTGGGCCAGCCTCCCCAGGCGAGCCCTTCTCCGCACCACCTGTCTGGCATTTCACGGTGCTATTTACTCCATCTGTACAGGTGGGGCATCCTCCCTTCCACACTCTGACAGCAGAGGTGTGACAGCCCCCAAGCAATGCTGCGGCCCATGGAACGCACACCAAACATCCAGTGCATCCACCCAGGGCGCCTGGATCCGGGCGGTGAGAGCTGGGGGGACACTGCAGCCGCTGTCTTCAGTTTTCCTCTCATCTTTCAAAAGCTTCTGATTGCTGATTTTAGTAATTTCTCCTTCAGAGATTTCCATCATCTGAGAAACAACGCATGAGCGCGACTGCTCTTGATACCCCACTTGGGGAGCAGCGCACAACACGTGTGCCAAGTTGCTATTGTCTGACTGCTTCAGCACTCGCCTGCAGGTAAGCTGCAGGGCCCTGCACAGCTGGATACCTCTTGATCAGCAGAAGGTGACAGAGAACCACAGAATCATCCCGTTGTGGCTAATCAGCCATCAAACCCACAGTGATGAGGGGGCTCTGCGGCGCGACTCTTGGGAAATAATTACCTCCTTCCCCTCTCACCTGCGGAGCTCCAGGAAACCTCCCTAGATCAGGGATCCCCGAGCCGCTGGTGTAAACATCAGCTGGGCAGCTGCAAAGTGCCAGGAAGCAGCAGGGAACCGGGCGAGCCTGCAGTTGGTGGCTCGTGTGAACAGGTCCTCTCCACATAATGAAAGATTGCAGCGAGCTGTCAGTGCCATCACTGACTCGGGAAAAGCCTCGCTCTTCGCAGATGAACGACCACATCCAACAAAAGAGGAGACTTTCCTCATCTACTCCTCGAAGGTGGAGAAGTGCAACGGACAGTGAGTGTGGCCTCAGATTCTTCAACAACGACAGTGTGGAATTTTACGAATCCTGCATCCTGTATCCATAGTGCACCACATTTCAGGTCATGCGAGACTGGAGGCCAACGGCCAAAGCATCCCAGCACGTGTGGGAGCACCGCCCAGGGTCAGGCCAGATCCTCCCTGGGAGCTGCCTGTGCTCGCCGACCGCACCCTTAGAGGGAGGCCAGTTCTCTGGGCGGGACTCTCAGGGCCCTGTCTCGGGAACCCCCTTCGCTCGCACCAGGCAGCAGAAGTCCAAGCACCGTTCAGTTCACTGCAAGGGGAGTGTGGGAGGGGGGTCTGCCATTCATCTCTCAGTGGCAAGGGGAGGCTAGACGTCAGCTAATTTAGAGCTGGGAGGACTGTCAGTGATGCCAGGGTCGCTCATAGGGGGAAGGGGGCCGGAGGGACAGCATGAGCCAACAGTGGCTGTGGATCTGAAGTCAGAAGGTAGGATTGCACCTTGGAAACATCGCCACACCCAGAGCAACACAGAGGGAGGGCCCAAATTCAACACAGGGAGGAGCACAAGCTAGAGAGCAAGGGAACTTCTTATCTTCCAAAGAGCAACTGCCCCACAAAGCACCCTGGTTTATACTCACTCACCTTCCCTGAACACTGAGAGGATGCTAGGATGTTCTGCAAACCTGCTCGGATGAAGAGAAGTTTACACTCCCAGCCAGGAAAACAACCTTCAGATGGCAAGTAAGGACAGGGACAGCCCCTTCTGCTCTTGTGGCTGAGAAGCCACTAGGTGCTTCTGGAGTTAGGGGCCAGACTCCCCTACCACATACCCCGACCCCCTACGGAGCAGTGCGTCAGCCCAGTGCTGCGCTCCATCTCCCAGGACTACAGGACAGTGGTGAAGCTCGAAAAGCCCTGGAAAGGGGCCTGGCTGAAAGGGAGGGCTCAGCATGGTCCCTCCTCTGTGCCAGATGCTATCCTTGGTGCTGAAAACACAGCCTGGAACCTCAGCCAAGTCTGAACTTGGAGCACACAAGGAACATGGGCAGAAAGGACAGCTGAGGGAAGACATAATCAGGTAAATGATGTAAAGCCGTGGGGCAGGGTGGAGCCCGTGACGGCCTTGGGCACTCTCCATCCCACCTGATGAAGTTTGCCAGCGCCTGGGTCACAGGACTTTCCAAACAGGAGCTAAGAGCAGTGGGAGGGGCTGGCCCCACTGGCACTCTGAGACCTGAGGGCTGAAACAAACACACAAGAGGCTCCATGGCCACCAGATCCTGCAGTGGGCCTGGGCACAGGTGCCTTGACCCCCCTCTGGCCCGCAGAGAGGATGCTGAAGTACAGGGAGTCCTGTGACATTCCTGGGCACATCCTGCCAGCAGCAGCGTTGTTCAGGAAATGCCCAGGGACCCCAGCCAGGGCTTCCTCAGCATCTGTTAAGCCAAACAGGAAATGCACAAGCAGAACCACCTCCAATCACAGGCTAAATAGATTACACAGGATGACACCAAAGCCCTAATAAGGACCTCGGCACTGCAGTGGACAGCACATGGGTGTGACACACCAATGCCAGCAAGGCCACCTCTAAACAGCTCCCCTGGCATGGGAGTGTGTTCAGACAGCACAACATGGCAGCTGTGTCCCACCCTTCCAGATGCACACAGCAGAGCACTTGCACAGTGCAGGAAGTAAGGGTCTGATGACGCCTCACCCCCAGGCAGCACGGGCCAGTGTCCACACTTGCCTTTCCCTGCCTGCACTCGTGGCTCAGGTCTCCATTCTGTGTCCTCCCACAGGGACCACTGCCCTGCCTGAGGCTCCTGTGCCTGCTACACTCATGCCACTATCCTCCCCGGGAACACTTGATCACATGCGCACACTCGCACACACCCTGCTTGCAGGGGACACGGCCATCGTTTGAAGTGTGGGGCTCTTTTGGGAACTGGGTGGTGGCAGCTGAGTGACTGCAGTGCCCAGTGATGGTGTCGGGCTTCGGAACCCGTCCATCTGCCTCCCTCCCTCCCTCTGCAAGGTGGGGAGACTCCGATACTGGGAGCAGCTCTGTCAGACACATGAGCCGTAGCCAGGTGGAGATACAACCAGCACCAGGACAAAGCCCCAGTCTGCTGCCTGCAGCCTGCCGAGCCTCAGACCAGGTGTGGCACTGCTGTGTCACCACAGTCAGGCTCAACCCCCACACAAGGACCTGGACCAGAGAGAGCCCAGCTCTGCCCTCCCTGGGGAGCCTTCTTTATCTACGCTATGTCTCCCCTGGAGATAGTGACTGCTTAAAGCCGGGTCCCCTGACCCTCACCCTGGTATCCCGGGGCTGGCCGGATATGTACAGCAGGTACCCAATAAGTATATGCTGGATTAAGTTGGTAACAGGTAGTGCTGACAGTGACCGAACTGACCAAACAGAGCAGAGGAGTGTCCCCCCACCCTCTCCCCACCAAGGGTCACTGTGGTAAGTAAACAATGACAGTTGCTGCCAAGTGTTCTGTGCCTTCCTGTAGAGGCCCTGGGACTGGCTGGGGGTTGACAAAGCTGACCTCCAACCACACGGGCAGCTGCTGGCCAAGGAGCCACATCTCCTGACCCTTGACGTGACACCCATCAGTGAGGGTGAGACCTGGAGGGCCCAGGACACCGCACGCCAGGCGCACTACACATGCAGAGTCCTCGGGAAGGAGCAGTGAGAGCCTCTGAGCGGAAGTGCCTGGCATGGCATCTGCATGGCGCCCGGCTGTGATAGTCTTCTGTCAGGTGCCTGGGCAGCACTGATTTAAACCAGGAGGGAAAGGACAAGATCGGAAGGTTTCCTACCAGGCCACGTTGCCAGGTGCTGGACTCCCAAGGTAACACAGCAGTTCCAGGGTCTGCGCTGTGCTGGCAGACTCATCGGGGGACTCGTGGCCTCCGGACTCCAGCTCCTCGGGCATCCTCCACACGGCTGCACATGCCAGGACTCGGCTGTCAGGAGCTGAGCAAGAGAAAGAGCGTCACCAGGTTAGCAGGGACAGCGCCTGATGCGGACAGGGCACACACAGGGGACATCTGCCCCCAGCAGCACAGCCTGGGAGCGCAGTCGGCCCAGTGGGGAGGAGCTAGCACACAGACAGGGCTTGCCAGGACAGCAGAAAATGTTATTTTCTCAAAGTCGATGTCCTCTCATCCTTCAGCAGTGCTTCAAAAACAGGATCAAGGGTGGGGGATTTAGCTCGGTGGTTCTACTGTCTGCTTCGCAAGCACAAGGTCCCACTTTAAATTCCCTGTACAAAAAAAAACAAAAAAAAAAAACAAAAAAAAAAAACAGGAGCAAAATGGAGGAGGCTAAGGCAAGCCTCCAGGCCTCAGCTGGCATCTGAGGTGGCATTAAATGGGTCTCTCTGCCCGAAGCACTATGGGGTTGTCAGAAACAGGTGTGAACATGGGAGAAGCCCAGAAACGCACTCAGAAATGCTGTCGGCAGCATGGATCTACCTGAGTCCACCTAAGGGGATGCAAGTCTGGGCCAGAGGTGCTGCTGGCTGAAGCCCACGAGGCCCCTCTGTGCTGATCCCAGCTGGCTTCGGCTCTGGCCCCAGACCCCTGGTGTGATTTCTTACAGGTGGTTTGAGGGTCCCAGCATCTTCAAGGAACCCCAAAGGTCATTGTGTGGATCGAGAGAATAAACTCACATGGGAAGGACAAGAACATGTAGGGTCCAGACAAACCCTCGCTATGACAGAGCTTTAAAAATCAAGGCTTAGGACTAGAGGCACAGCACAGCACAGAGGGCCTGCCTCAGCAGTGTGTAGCCCTGAGTTGAACCCCCAACACCCAGCACCACACACACGCACGCATACACACGGGAACTCTACATAATCAGACGTAACATTAAATTTCTATCTAAACCCCTTCAAAACTTGCATTCCATTTACTTTCAAATGCAAATGTGCTCAATGTCTTCCTTCCCCTTTAAAGGAGACCTTAATGAATAGGTTTCAAAATGAAGTCATCAACGTGGTCTCAAATGAAGAACAGAACGTAGCCTTTTTATTTTTGATAAAATTGCCCAGAACAGCTTCAAACTTCTGACCCTCCAGCCTCAGCCTCCTGAGAATGTGGGATTACAGGAGTGCACCACCCCTGGCATAACAGACAGGTATTGTGTTAAAGCAAGAAAAAGCACTTCATGAGTAGTATGTCTTACACAGAAACTTAAAAAAGAGCATACACAGCATTATAAAAATGAAGACCTTACATTACATTTGAAAACACACCACTTATTATTATTAGAACCATATATATCATTTACCTCTATTCCCCAAAACCTTGATTTGTGAGCATAATTCATTTCAGAAACACACTGGCAATCCAAAGCACTTCTCTATCAACCTGAGTTTCCCCATAAGAAATAAGAGAAACTCAGATGATTCATTCCACAACCCAAAAAATTCACATTAAAATTATTATAATACTGTAGTACAATACAAATAATAAAGAAAAATAAACAAACTGACCCGCACTTACTTACCTTTAAAACCTGGTGGCTTATGTGAGGGAGTCAGGAGGGAGGAGGGCTATTATACAGGATACTTTCACTGTCACTAAAAGAATCACTGCTGTCTACTGGCTCCACAGAATCTTTTTCTTTTTGTGCCACTTTACCAAAGAATCTGTCCAGTGACACTTGCTTTTGCCTCCTTTTGAGGATTTGGCAGAAATGAGACACTGCATTATCATAAAACAGATTCATCACTCACATCAGTGGCATAGCTGAATTTTACAACTCACTGTCGCAGCCAAGTGCCCCAGCTGTGAGGCACTGCTGAGCTTTACAGCTCAGTGTGGCGGCTCTGGAACACAGCTCTCATAATTTGAAGATTTGGGAATCTGCTGGTAAGTGGAAGAGGTGGGAAAAAGCCTTTATTCACTGGCAAGTCCCAGCAGGCTCAGAGGATTCTGAGCACTCTACCAGAAATGAGAGCCTCCCTATATAGGGACCTGCAGGGTAGGTAAGCATGCTCAATTAAGCGGGGCTGTGGTGGTGGGGGGTGGAGTTCAAGAACTTTCTGGAAACATAGGGGCCGAGTTACAGAACGTTCCTGGGGGGGGGGCTTAACAGAACCTTCTTGTGAGGGGACAAAGCTTAACTGAACATCCCAGAAAGGACTCAAAGTTCAAACAGCCACAAACCATTTTGACACATTGGATAGGAGACAAAAGCAGCACAAAGTTACATTTCCAAAACAAAACATTTTGTGGGAAAAGAAAATGGAGGCAAGGCCAGGGCCTGTGATTGTATAGCATTTCTCTATCAATCATCTTTGGGGGGAAATGATTATGATAGGTATCTTCCTGTTAGCTTCATGGGCATTAATGTACCACCACATTTCCTAAACAGAGCATTACATTACTCTAATGTCAACAAAGTTGTAGCATCACTCTGAGACCAGCAAGAATTTAAAGCAAAAGGAATTGGATATGTTGAGTGTAGACACCATGAGAGCTCTAAAACAAAAGGTATAACACAAAGGAAAAGGATTTTGGAGCATCATATGAATTGACTTTTATTTCTAAACATTTGTGCGTCAATCTCCACAACCCACACAAGCAAGAAATTTTGTAACCTTTTCTGTTACAAAGAAAAGGTCCTAATGGTCATGAGGTGGCCCTGGTGGGTGTGGCCAGCTCTCCATTAGCCCATTGGTTCTGTGACATCACAGGAGCCTGTGTGAGGTCACAGCAGTTAGCTCTGCAAGGCGTGCCTCAGGTGGGTCTTTTGTGGGTGTAAGGAGATTGTTGAGAGAGTTGAGTGGAAATTGTTATTGGAGATTTGGTGATTGATTTGGTGCTATGGGGAGTGTAGGACATGGTGACACTGTGCCAAGCAGTGTTCCTGGTGAGTGTAGTGAGGGATCATCCTGGCTGGACCTCACAACTTCATCTCCACGAATACCAAACACTTCATCAGAAAGGTCATGAACCAGAACCCCGGCATGTGGTCAACAACACAGGCTCCAGGGTGTCCGGCTGCGCCGTCCTCCTCAGCCGCTCCCTGTGCTCGCAAAGAGGGGAATTCTAAGTCATATGGCCAGGATGGGTTTCGACCAGCTAACAGTGATGGACACCCTGAGGAGGAAGGAGTATAATGAGATGGCAACCTTCCTGTTGCTGCAGATCCAGGCCTGCCAGGGGCCTAGGCAAGAGATTGCAGAGAAAACACCATGGTGCCTGACAAGTCCTGCACTCTCACCTCAGATCCTTGGGATGGCCAGTGAGCCTGTCCCCTGTACTGCCTGCTTATTCCCTGGAATGAGGCCCCAAGGAAAACAGGGTGGCAGAGGCTCCCAGCCACCCATGACCATCCAGAGGATCCCAACTCCCGGCCCGTCCCCCCACCCTGGCCCTTCCACTCCCAGCGTATCCTGCCAGCCTGACCCTGCCATTTCCAGTGTGTCCCGCCAGCCAGGCCTTGGAGCTCTGCACTCTCGCTCCAGAACCACCTCTGGCCCTGCCAACAGCAGGCATCCGATACTGGAAGGCTCTCAAGAGGAGCATCACAGGCTGCCTAATGGGCCCTGTGCTGCTGCTGCCTGCCACCCTGTGGGCACCGCCAAATGCAGTGGCCCCAATATAAGTAGCACCCAGCAGAATCCCAGAGAACCCTCAACCCTCAAGGAGGCTGGGTGGTCCGGGTGCTTTCTGAGTGAGCTGTATCCTGATGATGTCACCTTTAATGGTCAGGGTAGAACTCGAGTGAGGCGGAGAGGGGAGAGGGATGGAGGAGTTGTGGCCAGAGGGAAGAGTCTCAGATGGTCATGAGGACTTGCAGTCGGATCTCTTGTCGCGTAGGGTGGTGGTGACCACAGCCAACAATAATGCCTGGTATATTTTCACACGAGTGTCCATTTCATATGTGTCCATGTCATTTTAGTAAAAAGCCATGAGAGCGACTCCATGGACGTGGACGTCCTACCCATGGCAGACCAGCCACATGGGAAGAAGCCATGGTGAGTCACCCTGCAGCCCCCTCAAGGGAGCTAGAGGGAAAAGGGTGTCCAGGACACCTGTGTTTCCTGTGGGAGGGAGGGAGGAGGGTGCACAGCACAGAAGGCTGTGCTTGAGTCCAGAGGTGGGATTCAGTGGGAGGAAGACGGATGAGCAGCAGGAGGAGGTTTCTCTGACTTGTGTGCCATTGCCAGAGGGAGGCTCCCCTAAGACCAGGGAGACTCAGACCACAGCCTCCTGACTGGGTGAGGGTGGGGTTAGTTGAGCAGAGCCGTGACTTTATCCCACAGTCCTCCATGGTACACAGCTCCTCTCTGCTCATCTCCTCGCATGTCCATTTGAGAGTTTCCACCACGGAGCCACAGAGGAGTTGCTGGAAGGACAGTGAGCCCAGGTGAAGAGAGGCAGCCCTGCCTGTTCTGAGGACTGGGACATTGCTGTTCCCCTGGCCACCATGTAGAAGCCTAGACTCGGCCATGCTGTGAGCAGCCCAGAAGTATGCAGAGGCCACACTGATCCTCCACCCGCCAATTACACGATGGGAGCCACTCCAGCCGAGTCACCAGAGAGGTGTGTGGGGGCATCTCTACATCATCCCAGTGCCAGCCATGGATCATCCTGGCCCAGAAGTCAGAACAGCTGAATCCTGAGGACCAGGGCCATGCCTCAGCCCAAGTGGACCTGGCCTAGGCCCTGAGCCCCATAGCTAACATCTCTATGGCCTCCCTGCCTCCTCCTCGGTCATCCAGGATGCAGTCGGCTGCAGCCCAAGGCAGTCTGCTTCCAGATGTCTCACAAACTCAGCCTGTCTTTTTCCCATGTGCCATCACACTGTAGAGCAGATCTGCTCATGGCATGGATGTTGGGGACACTCAGGGCCAAGGACAGAGGTGCAGGGCCAATGCGGAGGGCTTCTGCGGGTGAGAGCAGGAGGGGGATTCAGGACCAGAACACGGAGACAGTCAAGGGATCAAATGAGCCAGCCTCTGCTCCAGAGCAGCAGGCCGAGGACTGATTTGGTGACAGCCCCGGGGGACAGCGCTGCCATGCGGCCAGCACAGTCAGCAGAATTTCAGAATAGTGACCCACGTGTTTCTCTGAGAGTGCTCAGTGCCCAGGGCTGCTCTTCCTCTTCCTGCTGTCAGAATCACTGGGATTTTATAGAGGAGGCGCATGACTCATGGAGGGCTGAAGTGAAGTCCCAGATTTGTACAGGAAGAACAGGACAGGGTAGGATTCGAGCCTGGAACTTCCCAGCTCTCAATCCTACTGTCATCTAGTGAGGAAGACAGCCTGGGACACCACAAGAGGAACAAGTGTTGGCACAAGATGGTGGTGGTAGTAGCTTTCTAGGCTGTGGCAGGACACCTGAGATTCATCAGCAGAGGTCTCAGTCCAGGGTCACTGTGGGCTTGGGACAGCGCAGCACATCACGGCAGGAGTATTGGAGGAGGAGACCCCTCACCTCATAGCACCTGGGAAGCAGAGTCATGAAGAGGCGAGATCCCATCATCCCAGTCCCAGCCACATCCCTGTGACCTCACTTCCTCCCACTAAGCTCTGCTTCCTCCCAGGGGCACTGCTGTCTGGTCCACAATTTCAACTGTGAGCCTATGCGGCACCTCAGAGAGAAGACAGGAAAACAAAGGAGCAGTAGGAGGGGGACTTCCCTGATTTGTCCTTTGTTACCCTAGAGAAGCTGCTCTGGGGGCAAAGAGTCTGGGCCCCTGGGAGCCTGCAGACCACACAGCCTCCCGTGTGGGTGCAGGTAGACGTGGAGGCTGAGTGAGGGTGAGGCTTGTCCAGCACAGCCATGACTGTATCTCACAGTTCTCCGTGGTGAGGAGCTTTTACATGTCCTCCCTTCTCACCTCTTGCCAGGCCCGTGTATGAGAGCTTCCATGAAGAAGCCACCAAGTTGTTGCTGCAAGGATGGCAAGTCCAGGTGAAGAGAGGCAGTGCTGTGAGCTCTGTTTACTGGGCCACTGTACTGCCGCCCTGGCCACCGCGCAGATTCTGGGACATGGCCATGCTGTGAGCAGCCCGGGAATATGCAGAGGCCACGCTGAGCTTCTGTTCATGGAGTTCAGCATGGGAGCCACCCCAGCCCAGCCACCGGACAGGTGTGTGACGCTGCCCCCAGAGGACCCAGCCACTGCCATCAAGCATCCTTCTTCTAGAAACTTCTGTGGACCCTACAGCATTCTTTGGGATCCTCCCCACCCATGCTGCCATGTGCATTCTCGTTACCTCTTGGTAACCATCTGGTAAATGGAAGGAACAGCAGCAGCAAGAATGGGCTGGGTCTCAGCTCCTTGGGAAAACCTGCTGCCCTCACTGGGGCTTCTGAGTCTCTTGGGAGTTTGAATATGGAGAGAGGGGGAGGCACCTCAGAAAGAGATTTCTGGAGGGAGTGTGGGAAGGGCAGGGACAAGGGGGAAAATGAGAACCAAGACCTGTCATGTAGAGGTACAAAATCCTGATGATGAAAATAACTGTACTATATGCCTAAAAAGTACCAATAAACTCAATTTTAAAAAAATAAAGAGATTTCTGATAAGGCGAGTGTGGGTGGGAGGGGTGTGATGCGCTGGGGTAGTGCAAAAGCTGACCACACACTCACCCTCAGTTTCTCCAGAGCTCTACTCTGGAGCCTCCCTAAAAGCCGAGCAGAGCCGCTCTGGTCTTTCCACACTTAGATCTTTACACCTTTTCTCTGACTTTAGAGAATTTGTGCCAGTACATGATACATCGTTTCTTCTTGATTTCCCCAATCCAATCCCCTCCCCTCCCGATAACCCTTCTTGCCCTTCTTATTTACAAATAAATTGTTTCCATTTCCCCCTTCTATTTTCTCTGTTTTCCTCCCCTCCCTTCCCCACTCCCACCTTCCTGGTTTCCCTTCCCATTTGAATTTTTCCCCTATTTCTCAGTACGTGTTGTACATGTTGTACCCTGTTTACCCTTTCAATTTTTCAGAGCAGATTAAGATGTGATATTTAAACTTGTGACTCTGATTTATTTCACTTAAGAATATGGTCCTAAGGTGCATCCATTTAACTAGAAATGTCTCACGTTTATCCCAGAATAGTTCTCCATTATTTAAAAAAAAACCCACCTTTTTGTTTCGTTTTTTTTTTCCATATCGGGATCGAACTCAGGACCGTGTGCTCGCGAGGCAGGTGGCAGCACCACTCAGCTAAATCCCTGGCCCTGTCACATCTTCCTTATCCGTTCATCAATTGATGGGCATTTGGGCTGTTTCCAAGATCGTGCTGTTACAAAATGTGGCACTATAGGCATGGGTATGCAGCTAACACTGTGGTACAATGGTTTTAATTCTGGAGAGATACTGAGAGGCAGAATAGTTGGGTCAAATGGAACCTCTAATTTTAGTTTTTTGAAGAATTTCTGCAATGATTTTCACATTGGCTGCACCAGTCTATATTCCCTCCAACAGTGGAGAAGTGTTCCTTTTTCTTGACAGCCTCACTAGCATTTTCATTGGTTGGATGTCTTCAATAATGGCTGTTCTTTCTGAAGTGACATGGGATTGCAACATTAAGACTTTTTCATCTATTTGTTTGCCATTTCTACTTCTTCATCTGAGAAGTATCTATTCATTTTAGATGCCCATTTTTGTATTGGTTCTTTAATTTGAGAGGTGTGCTTTTTTTCAAGTTCTTTATATATTCTATGTACTTATTCCTTTGTCTGAGGAACAGCTGGTAAAAAACTTTTCCCATTCCGAAGGTTGTCTCTTCACTCTGTTGTTGGTTTCTTTTGGTGTCCAAAAGCTTTTTAGTAAAGTGAGATCACGGGTGTTGGTTCTTTGTGCTATTTCCTGTGCAATTGGGATTTTGTTCATAGTCTTTGCCTACACCTATATCTTCAAGAGTTCTACTATTCTGTTCTCCCAGCAGATTTAGTGTTTCTGTTGTAATATTTCCATCTTTGATGCATTTCTATTTTAGTTTAGCATGTGGTGAGAGATATGGGTCTAGTTTTACTCTTTGGCATAAGGAAAGCCAGTTTTCCCAGCACCGTTTATTAAAGAGGCTCTATTCCTTCCAGTAAAGATGTTTGACACCTTTGTCCAAGATAAGGTGGCTGAGCAGATTTGGAGTTGATTCTGCATCTTCTAGTCTGTTCCATTGATCCTCAAGTCCCCCCTCCTCGTTTTTATCAGTACAATGCTATTTTTATCACAATAGCTTTGTAGTATGGTTTCAACTAGGTGATTGTGATACTCTCCTGCCTTGTCTTTGTGGCCAAGAATTGCCTCTGCTATTCTAGATCTGTTCTGGTTCCAAATGAATTGTAGGATGATTTTCTCTAATTCAGGGAGGTATGCTATTGGTATTTTTATCAAGATTGCATTAAATCTGCATAGTAATTTTGGGAGTATGGCCATTTTTACTACAATGGTTCTTCCTACCTGAGAACAAGGGATATATTTTCATTTTCTGATATGCTTTTCAATCTCCTGTTTCAGAGTTTTGTAGTTTTCAATATAAAGGTCGTTCTCTTCCTTTGTTAGGTTGATTCCAATGTATTTTATTCTTTTGTATGGTGTTATAAAAGTGTAATCTCCCTAACTTCCCTCTCAGTGAGTTTGTTATTTGTGTACAAGAATGTGATTGAGTTTTGAGTGTTGGCTTTTTATCCAGCTATGCATCTAAATTTAGTTATTAAATCTAGAAGTCTTTTGGTAGAATTTTTGGGGTCTTCTATTTGTAGTATCATGTCCCCTGCATATAATGATAATTTAACTTTTTCTTTTCCTGTCCTCATTCCTTTTGTTTCTCTTGTCTAACTGTCCTGGCTAATGTTTCCAGAACTACACTGAATAGAAGTGGTGACCGTGGACATCCTTGTCTTGTTCCCGATTTTAACATGAAGGCTTTCAGTTTTGGACCATGTAGTGTGATGTTGGCTTTTGGTTCATAATAGATGGCTTTTATCAGATTGAGATCAAGACTGTCTATTCCAATTTTCGATAGTTTTAATCACAATTGGGTGTGGGACTTTATTAATGCTCTTTCTGCATCTATTGAAATGAATGTATGGTTTTTGTCTTTGACTCTGTGTTAATGTGGTGCATTAACATTTCTTGATTGATGTATGTCAAACCAGCCCCGCATCCCTGGGATGAATCCTGCTTGGTCAGAGTTGTGGGAGATGACCTTGTTGATTATGCCCAGTGCAGACTGTAGCAATGCAGGGTATAAAGAATTAACCCCACATGTAGCTTATTTAAAGAAGCGAGTCTGGTCGAAGCCTATGTAACTCCTAGGAGCACTGTGGGTGGCATGCGGGTCACCCTGCCAATGATCATGGCAGAGGCCAGAGAAATGGCCCATGAAGC